TGTTCTATATAGAAGGTTCTATGGGTCAAACCAAAAGAAAGAACAAGGCGGATTCCATGTAACTTGAGGTTGTTGGGGACATACCCCCGTAGACCGGCAAGGAGTATGATGGAAGCAAGTCAGGGTAAGTTGCAGGTCTGATCCAGAGGCAATGGAAGAAGTTCAGAGCGAATGGAACCCGGTCCAGAAACAACGGAAAATGTTCAAAGCGAATGGAACCTGGTCCAGAGACAATGGAAGCGGTTAGGAGCCATGTAAGGAAGTTACCAGGCGGTTGAGAGTGGTGGAAAAATAATTGGAACTGCCCTTTTAGGGGAAGAGGCGGTTATTTTAGCTTAGGATTAAAACTAGGAAAAAACACATCGCACAAACGCACAAGAAGATGACCTCATACATTTCTTTATTTCTTTTTCATGTTTCAGTTCCTCTTTATGCATTTTAATTCAAATTACATGCTTTTATGTTTCTAGCATATTTTTATCCGCTTTCCAGTAGATTTATCCGAGTTTTAGTAGATGTTAGTTTAAATCCATCGAAATCGGTCGTTTAGGCTCGAAGGCTCGTTTAAGATCGAGGCCGTGCAGACTCCATCGCAGGAGCCGTCTCCAATCCAATGACGAACAGGCTCTTTGGAGTACTTCCAGAACCCATACCGACGAATCGATGAACGGTCTTGGAACCTCCCGAATTTTAGGTTCCAACAATTGGTACGCCTGGTAAGACCAAGTCAGGTTCGTGTATGCAACTTCGTAGTGGTAAGGTGATCACCAAGGAAAACTAGAATCATAACTCAGGTCTAAACAAAGATGCAGGAAACACTGGAATTGGAACACCGGTTCACCCCAGTGGAAGCCCACCCCAGAGCTAAGAAAAGAAGAAGAATCGTCATCGACTGAAACGATGGTGGATATGGTATGCAGAGAAGTGAATCAATGTATTCAGGCTAGAATCGGGGATATTGCATACGAAATCTCTGGGCAATTGGCCAACGTAATCCGGCCAACTGTGAAGAATGAAGCATTTCAAATTCGCGAAAAAGAACGTCGAGCAACGGCTAGTGGAGTTTAGAATTTTGGAATTTCAAGAACTACATATGGAGGTCCGAGAGGAATAGCTCCATCTGGTCGAGGGAATCCATCCCTCACAGGGAATCTCGGCTCAAGCTTAGGTCGTGGAAACGCTGGATCGCCCAGGGGGCCGACGGGTGGAACAGGATTGTAGTTCGGCAATATAACGATTCTCCCATGCCCGAAAGGAGGGCAGACCAGAGGAAGCTTTGGCCCTCAGATGGTGAGAGGACCGGATGTCGCTGGAAGCAGTGTTTACGGAACCCATCCAGGGACAAAATTGTCAGGGTAGTTCACAGGTCAACTACATAGAACGCACCTCCACAACCATGGGTTCAGCAAGCTCCATATGCCGCTGTCCCTCATGGATGAATGGCTGGCCAAGCTTGGGGACCAGGAGGGCAGCCGCTGATTCCTAATCAGCAGGATGCCCGGCCATTGATAGACATCGACATTTTAGTGGAAAGTATAAGAAGGGCTTTTCCACAAATGAAATTTGAAGAGCGACCGGTGTATCAAAGACCTTATCCAACTTGGGTAAGTGAGATGATGTTGTTGCCTGTTCGAAATAAAGCGCCAGATTTTACATTGTTCTCAGCGAAGATGGGAGGTCCACGATAGAGAATATTGAGAAATTTACAGCTCAATGCGGAGACTTGGAAGAAAATGACTGGTATCGTTTGCAATTATTTTCTTTATCTCTAACGGATACTGCATTTTCGTGGTATAAGTCATTGGCTCCAGATGGTGCAGTCTTGGTCAGACTTGGAGAGACTTTTCCATGACCGGTTTTATGCGCCGCCTGTGGAAACTACGATACCCCATCTGGTAGTTGTAAAGCAGGGGTATGATAAGCCTATGGCGCAATTTTTTGAAAGATTTCGACAAGCTAAGACGTGGTGCATGGTACAAATCCTGGAACAACAGGCAACCACGATGGCAATAGATAATATGCGATCAAACCTTTGGGATCAGTTAGGGGTCCAAGATTTCCAGGATTTTTCACATTTAAGTTCATTGGCAATGAGAGTAGAGAAGCTCATCCGAGAGAGATGTGATGCTGGAGTTGGAAGGTGGAAGAAAGATGGAAAAGCCGGAGTAACATGTTGTGCAGATGATAAAATTCCAGCCAATGAGGAATGTTTTGAGGAACAAGATGTGTTAGCCGATGAGTTGTTGAAAGGAAAAACCTATTCTTGTTTGGCATTAAGGCCTATAAAGGGCAAGGAGATTGGAGGTGCGCAATATACCTTCGATGTGTCTAAAGTCAAACAGATATTTGATCATCTGTTGAAGGACAAACAAATCAAACTCCGGGACGGGCAATGAGTGCCGTCACCAGAGGAACTGAAAGGGAAAGTGTACTGTAAGTGGCATGAGAGCTATCCATATGCTACCGCCAATTGTACGTACCTACGAAGTACAATCCAGAAGGCCTTAGATGAGGACATATTAAAATTAGCAGAGCAGAGTATACAAGTGGACGCAAATCCGTTTCCGGCTCCGTCCATTAACACTATGTCCATAGAAAGTCCCAAGAGACAACACAAAAAGGGAAGCAACCGGTTCGGCAGCCGGTTCATGAACAACTTAAACCTAGTATATACCACAACGGGGTTCAATCTTTGATAGGTTGGTTGTAGGAAAGATGCCTAATGGAAATGGTGGAGGTAAGAAACCTAGAGTCATAAAGCGGAGCCCTTATCTGAAAGTGACGATTCCAAATGCTAGGAAAGTTCAGGGACGCAATAATGTGATGACTAAGGCCGCAGCTCCAGGCTCAAGTATCAAGCTGGATGCCACTGTGGCTAGGGTGAAAGTCACTAGTGGAAAGCGAGTTTGGACTATTACATCTGCTGATCAGATTACCATTACTCCAAAAACGATGCGGAAGCCTCCATCAGCAGTAGATTCGGAGAAGTGGACAGTCAATATGCCGGAGGCAAATGCCAAGAGGGCAATGGGAGATCTTACGCGCTCCTAGAAAAGAATGGCACAAAGGAAACGATAACAAGCTTGGCTGAATGCCGAAATCAGCCTAGTTGGAATAGTGTAAGGATAAAGGAAGGGAACTTATCAGAGGGTAAGAAAATTGAATCAGGAATGGAGGTTCAACAAACGATGAATCGGGACGAGAAAGCCCCGAAAGTTGAGGAACAGAAGGAAAGACCTTGGAAAAATCAAGAGTTGCAACCTCGCTTGATTTTTTCTACACCGAGCGCCGGACCCGCTCTAAATTGGCAACGCTGATGGGTGCCGAAAGCTACACAGCCGAAGGAGCTTGATACTAAGGCTGGCCAATTATCGGTTGTCGGGTTGTTTCCGTCTGAGTTCAAAGCTCCGGAAGGAGAGCAAAGTTACGAGGGAGTGATCGTAGTGAAGAGCCAGCTGCATAATGGAATGAAGTAGCGACAACGGTCACATTTGATCGAATTGGGTCCGGGCATAATAAACATGTGAAGCCCCTGTACATTCGAGCTTTAATGAAAGACGATTTGTGGGTAGAGTACTGATAGACGGCGACGCATTTGCTAACGTGATGCCGTTTCGGACATTCAGAAAATTAGGAAAGACAAGGGATGATTTAATACCAACCTCAGTACGAGCCCACAGATTTTATAGGAAATTCGTACAAGCCGATAGGAATTGCTACTGTTGAGGTGCAAGTTGGCACAAAGAAGTTGCCTCAGCGTTTGTGATTATAGACAGCCGTCCGTCGTATACAGCATTGTTGGAGCGGGATTGGATTCACGCCTGCGAGTGTCCCGTCGCATTTACATCAGAAGTTGCTATTTTAGGATGGCGATGAGGTTCAAGAAGATCAAATCGTATATTTTTCTATTTTCTTTTCATGTTTTAGTTTCGTTTTATGCATTTTAATTCAAGTTACATGCTTTTATGCTTCTTGCCATTTATTTTACGTGTTTTCCTTAAATTATCTTAGTTTAGTTCGATCAATCATGTAAGATCTCAGTTACCCGAAGACGGATTGACTCTTTGGAGTACTTCCGAAACTCATACCGACAGAATCGACGAACCATTTTGGAACCTTCAAATTTCAGGTTCCAACAATTACAAATATTATTTTGTTGATAATAAAATTTAATATAATACAAATAAATAAAAAATATAATATTTATTTATTTAAAATTAACTTAAAACAAAAATAAAAAATTTAAATATACATAAAAAAATATTTATTTATTAAAAAAAATATAAAAATAAGCAAAATTTTGAATGATCATATGTATAAAAAATTAAAAATTTAATTAAATTAATTTATATTTATTAAATATATTTAAAAATAAAAATACGACTGGCCTATTTCCATCCCTGATAATATTATACTCATTAAAACCTGGTCTGCTCCAAATGACATTTATTCTATAGACGTATGGAGTAAATGCATACACACATTCCACAGCGTTCGTATTATGTTACAACAGTAATTTTACTTCAACCATAGCTCCATTTTTCACTATTATTCTTCAAATATTCAATTTTTCTTATTATTTTAAACAACTTTTTATTTTTATAATTTAAAAAAAATTAAAAATTAAAAATTTAATTTATAATTTTAAAAAATAAAAAAAATAAATAAATAAATAAATAACATTTTGCTACAATGGTGTTGCACTGCAGCAAACTCCAAAATTGGTGCTTGAATTAGCGCTGGATTGGAGCAGCATTGGCGGCACACTAGTCAATTAATTATCTAAGCCAACAAAAACACTCAACTAACAATCACAAACAGACACATAAGAGATAAAAAAAGACTTGATTTGAAAGATCAATTATTCCAGTGACAAATAATTGAGAGCTTTACCAAATTGAAACCCATCATTTGTGTACAGGAAATTATATCAATAAAGAGTTCCAAAATTAATAATAATAATAATAATAATAATAATAATTTCAAATCTCTAAATGACATGACAGCAATAGATAACTTCTATATAGTTGCTCCAACCAGTGTTCCCCTAGTTCTGATGCAGCAATACAACCATAAAACAGGATGAGAATAAGGTAGAACCATAACATCTGTACAAATCTCTATTTGCAGTATAAATCATAACTCTAATTCGATCCGATCCACAATCCAATCCAATCCAATCCAATCCAGTCATGAGTACACAAGGATGGATTCATGGATGGCGGACTAGAGAAGCTCCCTCCTCTTTTCGATTCAGAACTATGGACAGGCAAAAGGATACATAAACCATTTAAATCCCTCCCTCCCTCTGACATGACATACGATGCATCAAATTAGGGCCCAGCTCTATTTATTGCTACAGATTTTGATTACTGCTGCTCTGCTGTTTTCACAAAACTACGCTGTTGAAGGTTGCACTTAAAGGACATGGTTGGCTGCTTGGTTTCTCTCGAATATGTACTAATTGTAGATTCTAACAGGCTTCTCAAATGTGTGCCGATTCTGCAACATTTAGTGTAGCTTGTGAGCATGATAACTTCTACCATAAAAATTGAGAAAAAAAATAAATACATAAATATATATATATATATATAATCGTGAAAACTAAGAATGGAAGGCTCAATATCATGAAAATGTAATCACTTTTAAGCATTCTTAGATTCTTAGAACATTCACAGATAATAGCATGTCTTAGTTACAGATTCTAATAGATCTCAAAGTGATAAAAAGAATCGAAGCACCACAATATGTGACTCGAAACAGAGAACACCAGGCTAATAAATCTACCACTACCCCCTCAAAGGTTGGTAAATTTATATATTACCCTTGTACAACATATATTTATGTACCTAACATAACGGTAAAATCAAAATTCTTGGAATTATGAGATGCTTGAGATTTGTTAATTTCTACTCCTTAATATCTTTATTATTAATAATACGAACACCCACCAATTATGCTCAACCAAATATCAGTAAATAAGTCGTTGATATTTTATAATTATAGAAAAAGAAAGAAATGCAATGAGATCCTGGGTTCAAGCATTGTTTTTTTGTTTTCTCTCCTAGGTTGAAATCTGATTCATGTGCAGATAGTTGATTAGGGCTCATGCAAAGTTACAGATTCACAACCTAATACAAATTAGCCTAAGATAAGAGCTAGTTGAAAAGAAAATTAGATGGCATTAATCTAGCTCATGCAGTGAAGGGAAATCATCACCTATTTCAATTGGTGGATTCAAATATTAAACAAGACAAAAAAGGATCACATCAGCATACCTGGTTCGCAGCATATGACCTTTTTGGTGCATTGTCAGCATGCTCAAGTCCAAGATACTGTTCCCAGGCACCATAAACATCTCTTCTCTGGAACATAGGGTAAAAACAAATGAGCCCTAAAAGAATAACTAAACCATAAAATGCATGTAGAAAAGAAGAGACAAGTTGTTAAGACCTGAAAACGAGCGGATACAATGTCTGAATCTTGAAGGTATTCAGGTCTACCCAAAGACACAAATGCAAACTTCCACTGGAAATGATAGATAGGTTAGAATACGAAAGAAATTGAAGTGAACGAATGACTAGCCTAATATATTTTTGCTACATGTACAATGATACTTCAAATCCCCACCTTTGAGTACTCCTCATCAGGAATGCGTAATTTCTTTTGAATGCGCTTTTTAACATCAGCCAATATCTCTCCCTCGTGAATGACCAAGAAAAAGGGATCCCCAAAATTTGTCACCTGTTGTAAGGAGACATACAGTGAATCACTAAAATGGCCCTCAAGAAAATAAAAAGCACATAGCCAAGCAAACTCAGAGGTGAAGAAACATATGTCTTACAACCTGACTTTGAGTACTGTCTTTCAGGAAATGGTAAACGTGAATTAACCGATCTTGGGGACCCAAATTTTTCTCCTCTTCAGGAATCTGGAGTAAAGACGAATACACCAAAGATTTAACAGAAGAATATAAATCAAATATTAATTTCACAAATTTCATTCAATTTAATACATATCCAATAATAATTTGAGGAAGCATATGTCTGGGAATCATATAAAACCATAATTATCAAGAAAACCAGACAAGGGGTAGGCAGGATGTAGGTAGAGATTAAACCTTGTTGGGCTTTAAAGGAAATTAAAAGCAATGATTGGTTATTCATTTGTAAGTGACTGCACAAACAGTATGTACTTTATCACAGCTCTAGACTCTCTTAGGAAGAGAAATAACTGTGCAGAATTCATTGCTGCAGTGTGTACCTAGCTTAAACCTTAATGTGCAATCCTAATTGTAGCATTCTTGGCGGTCTCTTCTACCCTTACTGGTAGCCTTACAAGAGCCAAACAGATAAACTTTTCAGTTTTTCCCTCTATCTGCAAACCACAAATCTTCTCAGATAAAATATGGCTTATGCTGAGTTCATAATCACATTAAAGGGAACTCAGATCCAAGGGCACCATTACGCGGTTGCTGTTCTCTACACAAAAAGGTTGCATGGGCTGTCCTCTTTCGAAAACAGTAATCAATTATGGAGCTTTCAATGAAAAATCTGATGATTCATATTCAGGGAGAGTTTAGGGGATGGATAGGGAGTAATGGTTAGTGATTTTCATATGCAATGCCTAAGCCAACCATTATTACAAATATAACGCTCCCATCCAGTAAAAAATCACTACAAAATCCAACTTAGACCTACATCTCGTGAACCTGAATCAACCCAATAGAAATATTCTCTGGATACTGCAAAGTTTGGTCAAAGTATACTGGGCAATATATGATTCAACATATATGTGGACATTCTCAAAACTACATTCCAAAAACAATAAATAAAAAAATTCAACCTTCTTTAGAACTAGACATGGAATCTAGTGATAATGTCCTTGATTTTAGACAGCAATAAGATAGAAACCATAGAATGCTGTCTCTCTCTATATATCACATATTAGTATGTCATGACTAAGGGTTATCGAAGATAGAATTTATTTGAATCAATGAAAATAGAATACCACAGAAGAAAATCAATTCGCTCTGTAACCAAAACTAAAATAATAATTGTCTAACCTAACATGACCTAGATGCACCCTAGCTGACTTATGGGCCAAGCCCAAGACTCATAATCAACAAATAAAATAATAAAAGACATAATAAGAAATAAAATAATAATTATCCTAAATGAGTAAGATGCTTCTCCCTTTTCTAAAATAGACCTTGACTTTACCCAACTCTATGACAACTCCATCCCTCTTGAAAACCACCTTGTCCTCAAGGTGAAAGACAGGAAATTGGAGCGCAATTCCTCTTCATCAACCTAAATCGAATCCTTGTACATTAGTCCGCGTTAATGTATCAAAACCTGAGGAATGAGCTTGTCGCCTCTACTACCATCTGCTCGAGCTCCGTGGATCTGACCTCACCTTCTGTCCACCCTTCGACCTCGTCCATCTCTTCGAGCTCGGCCACCCAATTCGTGTCTGGGTTCACCACACAAGTTTGAAGGGACTTGCTTGCACACTTATGCAATGGTGTATAAGACTCCTTACAATGGTAACAAAGTAGCTTAAACTGATACTCGCGATACTCTTCACGACTCAATTTTCGGAAGGGAACTTGCACGGAGGACTGGTCCGAAGCCACCGGGCGTATGCCAGTGGAACTGTTGTCCTTGCCTAGTCTACTACTCTCGATGCCATTTCCAAGATTAGAGGGACCTACCGGAGGTTCAATCTGCGCTCCACCGTTAAGGCACGAACTCGCAAATTGACCAGATGGTTGTCCAAGTTGTTGATATGTCGTGGTAGAACCAGCATTGAATTCCCACTCAATGCTACGGCTGATCTGAATAGTCCAAACCTTTGGGGTCTAGTGTCCTCAGACGATTGATTTTCTGTTGCAATCCCCCCATGAAGTATCCGAGGTAATGCTCATCCGTTTAAGCCTGGCACCTGTGTCGCCAGTTGGATGAACTCGTTGATATACTGATCAACTCCCTTTTTTTGCTGAAGTGTGACAAGGCGCTCGTAGGGGCTCCTTACGTAACGATCATCAAAACAAAGGACTAGGGCTCGGGAAACTCCGCCCAAGTGGCGGTTGGGTGGCGAAAGTGTTGCCATCGAGACCAGTGCAGCGCTGTACCCTCCATGGCGATGTGCGCTAATGCTACCTTGAGTTTTGTTCGCACCTGGTGGAGTTCAAACTGTTGCTCAGCGCAAACAACCCAACCAATAGGCTCCGTCCCGTCAAACGATGGTAGTCTGACTTCTGACATGACTGGGGTGGCAAAGCTACCGTGGCGGGGGGGTCAACCCCCCTAACAGTTGAGAATCCGGCGCAAGTGGACGTTGCGCCATGGGCGGCGACGTTGAGGGCGCCGGGAACTGAGTCGGTGGCTAACCCACTGACGCAGTGGCATCAACGGCGGCGTCACGCCGCCGAGTGCTGCCTTGATCGTAGCGAGCAACTCCTGCCGCAGCGAAACCATCTGATTCGTGTTTTGTTCTTCCAAAATCTCGAGCTTGGCGGATTTGGTTTACCTTCTCCGGTATTTCTCCAACGGTTGTTTTCAATAGCTCGAATCGTTGTTGATTGGAGATAAGCATGATTCCGTCAGCAGAGGATCCGGCAGGTCGAACCAATTGTTATGACTTAGGATTATCAAAGAAAGAATTTATTCGAATCAATGAAAATAGAGTACCACAGAAAAAAAAACCAATTCGCTCTCTAATCAAAACCAAAATAATAATTGTTTAACCTAACATGACCTAGATATAGGGCTGACTTATGGGCCAAGGTCAAGACATAATCAACAATTAAACATTAAATAAAATAATAAGAGAAATAATAAGAAATAAAATAATAATTATCTTAAATGAGTACGGTGCTTCTCCCTCTCCTAATATAGACCTTGACTTTACCCAACTCCATAACATGGAATCTAGTGATAATGTCCTTGATTCTAGACAGCAATAAGATAGAAACCATAGAATGCTGTCTCTCTCTCTATATCACATATATTACATGCACATAGTTTCATCCACAACATAATAGTAAAAGTAACAGATTCTGCTATGTTCAAGAGATTTTAATTGGAGACAAGATAGTCTGGCAGTTATACAGATACAACAACAAGAGTAAGATGACTCAGCCATTCTTCTCTAGAGAAAAGGTCTAACACAAATACACAACGCAATGAGAAGAAAACATAAATGAATTAGATTAAAAATAAACATTAAAAACTATTCACTTACCTCCTCTGCACGCAATGTCCAATATTGATCATTTATGTTCTCAATCTTGTCTTGCAGAGGAAAAATCTGTAGATAATGATAAAAAATTACAGTTTAGCATGAAACTACCGAATTGAATTGTTAAATTTGCACCACCCCAGCAGAATCATGCATACACAATTTTCATCAAAAGAAGGAAATTTATCAAAAGCCTGAAATTAAGGAAATGCATTGTATGTCGGAACATATAGACTTGCGACTATATTATTCATAACGCAATAATAGGTATGTGCAAAATTATGTTTAAAAACAACACTTAAGATACTCATTCCAAGTGTCAATAAATTTTCAAAAAGTGGACACCCCACCATGGTTAGTACCATGGTTAGTACTTAGTATTCCCTCCGCTTTTGAAGCACGGGATGTGAAGTGACCTCAATATCTTTTCTCTACTCGAGCCCAAGGAGAAGGTTTATACTGTTGGATCACTTATCTTATTTTTGCAGTTAACGTCACCATCCATGACATGGAGGCATGAAAAGATGATGATACATTTTGTATAAAGAGCTAATGCTAGTTGAAGCTCTAGTTATTGTTGGACAGTAAAGTAGGTACTAGGTACTACTTCAATCAGGCAGTTGACCATTGACACATCTACAGTTTAAGAGCACCTTCATGTCAATGGAATGGTATAAAGGCTAGGCATTTGATACAACAATCTTAAGGGCTCAGAGACCTTGATCAGTATAGTGAAAAGCGGTAGCAAAATTAATCCCCCACTTGTATATTTTTTTTCTATACAGCATGTAGTTAAAGAGCATGAGTTTTTAAAGACACTCATCAGATAGAGCATCTTTTCTTGTTAAAGAGTTTTTTCAAGAATCCGATTGATGAAGTTTTGAATGTAAACAGAGTGAATGAAGATTTCATTAGAGGTCTACTGTCCATGCACAGCAAAAAGAACAATAGATAAATGTGTTTTGATAGAATATTCTGAGCTGTCACAAAGAAAAAAAAAAAAAAAAAAATGTAGTAACTTGCTAAGATAATGATGATCAATTTTGGGAATGGAATTATAAATAATGCATACACATTAGCAAACAATGATTTACATTATCAATATAAAAGTTTGAAATGTGTCCCATCACTTATAAGGACATAACTTTCAATGAGGACTCAACAAAAATATCATTAAAATTGTATTACCACCACATACTGAAAGCTGAATAATCATATATTAAATAGATCACAGATAATCGGTGGACAGCCATTACCTTATATATCTTATTATAGAAGACCTCAAGCAACCTCAATTCTGCATCTGGATGAGACAACTCAACCTGTGATAAATACATATATATACAGATATAATAGTTCATTGATAATGGATTTAGTTATCTCCCAAATTGAGAATACAAAATAAAGTAACTTCTTGACTTATCTATCCTCGTACAGCTACCAAGTATTCCTTTCGGGAACACATTATTTTTATTTTTTTTTTTCTCTTTTGCATACATTGACTGTAACTCCACAAACTCTGACATTAAGCAAAAAATTTCAAGGCTCACCTTGGTCTTAAGATCATTAATAACATCACCCACATTACTCTGCTTTGGTAACCTAATAGTATGAATAACAACCTGAAAATGTTGAAATATCATTAATGAGATGGGGAAAGTGTCAAAACCACACAAGTTGAGCAGTAGTTACACAGACAATTAAGGTCCCAGGATAAGACTTACTTCATCCTTGGTGGCATGATGGAAAGCAACTTTTAGAGTTTTAAGGCCTTGCAGTTCAGGTAAAGGAATGTCCAACACTTCATAGTACAGTATATCGGAAATCTATAAGATGAGTCCAAGGTATTGTCATTGACAAGTAAACACCTGTAAACATTATCTGGAAAATCTCAAACTCAATCGCTACATATAAAATAAGTCACCTGGTTATAGTGAACAAGCATATCTGTAAGACGTTCTGCACCACGGTACTTAATAGGTTGTGGCTTTGGTTGCTGTGAGTAGCAGTTATGGGATGTAAGCCTTATTCTAGATGGGTCATCCACAGAAAGATATCGGGCAACACTTCCAACAACTTCATCATAGTTGTTTTGCTTTGACCTGAAAAGTTTGTTGTGCTGTATTACCAAGAAAATCACAAGGAAATAGATAGAAGGCACATCAACCACAACAGCAATATAATTAAATTTAAATTCATGACTGAAACTCATACAATTCCAGAGAAAATTCATCCTCCTTGGGTTTCTCCAATGATCGAAATCGAACCACCTATAAATCAACAAACAAACTACTTAAATGGTGATATCAGAAAATTTATAAAATGGAAACTCGAAAGAAAAATGACATCAATGGAATATTCACTCATTTTCAAGTTTCTATGTGTTTCACTAAAATCAACAGCAAAGACAATAAAAATAAGAATAGCAGCCCATAGCAATAATATTTGAAAATAATCATTAAAGTGAATTCATCTTTAAATTGAGAAAAGAATGAAGCAGAATTAATCCTATTCAATTTCAAACTACCAATCAGTTTTTGCAAACCATATGACTTGAGTAATTAAAGGTGTACCTGACGATTATGTACATAATCTAAAAATGAAGGGACGGTGGGATAACGACAGGCTTCACTTCTCCCATAAGGAGATTTTTGGAAACAGATGATATCTCCATCTTCCAACTGCAATAAAATAAAAATAATCAAACGGAAATAATTGTGATTAGAGCTGCATAACTAATTAGCCATATGACATTAAAGGTCAGAAAGATTATGTAGTTTGGGTTTAACATAAGAAACCTGACTGTTGCGAAAGCTAAGCTTCTTGTCAATGTGCTCGCACATAACATTTGGCTCGAACTTAATTTCCTGCAAAAGAATTAGAAATTGTATGGCTAGCACAAATTCATTATTATAAATGATCACACAAATGAGGCAAAGCTGGAAAAGAAGGGGGTGGACCTCAAAGAGTTCAATTTCTTCATCTGGTTCAAAACCTGCCATTTCATTCAACCTTCTCAGTATCTCCATTGGTTTGCCATTGCCTTTAACAAATAACTTCCCAACATACCTATAAGAAAATTAAAACCTTGTCAGTAGATGCAGATCCACTAAACAAAATGCAGTACAACAAATACTGAGTAATAAATCTATGGGAAAATAACGGAAACGTAACTCGCACATGAAAAATTCATTTATATCCTAGTGCTTAGTGCTTACTACTATATATGTGCTTAGTGCTCACTATATATGTATATGCAAGCGAGCAAGAGAGAGAGAATCGCATGCATTATATTTTCGAGCATAATAAGCTTGCATCTAATAAGCCATACCGCAGTTCCTCTTTGATTGGATCATAAAGTTTGAAAAACAAAAGAATATCCTCCTTTGACTTCTCTGGAAGAGAAATTGGCTGCTTGTCCTGTACAAGATAGGAGCAAGAAGTGAAGAGAACACATTATGGAACAAATAAAATCATTTGACAACAGCAAAGATGAAATTGAGCTAAGAGATGGCAAGGTACCAAGCCAAATGCTACTTCCAGAAACAATTTGAGCTCCGCGTTATTTGCTTTATTGGAAATTTCTCTTAACTGACCAACCTGAATTATAAAAGATAAAATAAATTTGCAAAAATAACAAACCTGCTGCACGTGAAAAGGACAATAAAGACAGAAACTACTAATTTCAATGCAACACAGAACTTGCCAAACAAATCGTAAGTCTAAACACAATTAAATGGGTAATCATCTCCCAAATAATTGATAATACACAGATTTAATAAGTAAAGACGGAGCTTAGACTAAGATATGGCACCAACAGAACAAAGTAAACACAACAACATGATGCCCATTTTTGACAAAAGCCAGCATCCAAAATACAAAAAATAATCAGAGAATACCCTAGATCATCTATTTCTTTCACATACAAGGCTTGTACAAGTACTCACAATGACAACAAAAACATTGGAATATGCATTCCTTATGTTAAAATAATGAACAGTCGATTGATCCTGGTAATTCCTTTAGCAAATCAAGTAATGATACTTACATATTTATAGACATCATATGCTATTTCAAGGGTAAAGATAATCAGTAAATAGTAGCTGTAGAATGGCTGAATTGGAGGTCTCAAATTTCTACTATTATTAACCTAAACATAACTAATGATTGAATTTCCTTCTAAAAAAACTAATCATTCGAATACATTTGCTCAGTCCAGAGCCCAAATAATGCCCACTGCATTGACGTAATCTATGCGATTTAAAACTTCAAATAGGGGATTGGGCTGTCATCATGAATTTGATGCTTTACAATAAACGACATACTCCTCTTAACCAACCAAACTTCAATGAGGAAATTCACAAACATGCCTCGATATTGAGGACCTATTTCAAATTATATCACTTAGCTCTGTATTTAGAAGAAAAACTAATCCGAGGTGGATTACGCAATATATTCAAAGACCTAGCCACTGTAGGGGTGATGATACACATGCTGGATATTAAAGGATAAAGCTAGCAGTCCCTTATAGACATGTTTGTAAGAATTAAAAGTCCAAACTGTTTTATTTATTATTATTTTTATTTTTAATTCTTGCAAAAGGTAAGAACATAAACCTAGAGAATATTATCACAAAATTAAGGCATTGTAAATTCCAATTGAGTGTGTTAACTTTTTAAAACTCATTGAACATCTCACAAAGATTAGAAAGGCAATAATGTAAATCAAACATAAGTGCATACAGAATGATCTTCATCTGCGCGTATAAGTGGTCGATTTGGACGATATGTATGATTTTGACGCTTAGCCCACAGCCAGAAACGTTGAAATTGCACTGGTATGCCAAACTCCTTGGCAACTTCTTCCTGAAAAATCACAGATGAATTAGATGAAAGCCTAATTGCTTTATGATTGCAGTTTATCTATCATTGCAACAACCAAATTCCTATCTGAAATAAAGGGCTCAGTCTTCATTGAACCATCAATCAAATTTTCCCAAGAATGAATTTTCACAAGAAACAGATAAAGACAATTTGGAAAGTGAACAGGAATAAGATCAAAGCTTAATATTATTAACAACTGCAGTTTAGTTATCCTGCTACCCAAACTCCTATGTGAAATACAAGGGCTTCAGTCTTTGTTGAAGTACCAAGTTTACAAAATCAATCTTGGAAAGACTAAACCTCCATAGCAACACAAACAACAAAATCCAAAGAACATTGTAATACTGTTAGACCTATTGAGTAACAATGGAACTTTAGATTGTTACCCGCTTCTACAGGTTATTGCAGTCACAAGATGCAATATCAATGAAGAAAATCCACCATACATCACATCAATGAGGAGAAATATAGATTAGAGAGTCAATCAAGCCATATGCACACCGTCAGTCAAGTAATAAGCTTGCCAAAAAAAACTGGTTGGAGAGGGAACACAAGTTGTTTATGATGAGATAGTCGAAAATGATTTGGAGGGGCTCTCTGAAATTTGCCATCATTTGCCAGATCGTATGATCACTGGGTCCAGTTACAGTAATTAGTATGTCTCCACAAGGCCAACAAAATAGCTGATGTTTTAAACTTGAAGATCCAAGTTGAGTAAAAAATGGAAGAAACACATATACACATGCAACTCTATGTTTTGAAAGAAAATTTCCTAACTTTCGTTACAATGCATAATAGCACATGATCATATAATCAATCATATTCCACATAAAGCAGTAACATTCTAATTGGCAGTAGCACCTTAACAAACTTATGAAAACCCAGTTATGAACGAAGATTTATTATTAGCATGCATTATTACCTATGACCAGCAACAATTGTAAGTGTTAAGGTACCTTAAAAGAACTAAACGGCAACTGTTTCTGAATTCGAAAATGTCGAACTTTTTCATGATCCACAAGATCAAAGTATATATTCTTTCCAATCTGATCAAAGAGATCTTCCTCACGGGCAACCTATAAATAAAATCATATAATCAACATTCCAACTACAATGTTTTGAAGACGGCAGGAAGCAACTAAGAATTATATTTCAAACACCACCTTAATAATGGTATAGAGGTGTGCCTCAGCTTTTTCCTTCCTTTTTTGCTCTTTTTCTTCCTGCTCTTTTTTCAACCTTACCTGAAAATTCAAGAGAATAAATAACAAACAAAATCAAAGATCAACGTCATGAGTCTTACCCTTAGATGTTCAGCGATATCCTTCTCATCCACATTGCAAATAACTTTCTCCTTGTCACATTCCCGTATGTAGACAAGCATGTATGCATTTGAATATTTTGTAAATTTGAATGGTGAATTATTGAATCCAGGGTTTGTCTGTGGTAGCTGTGTCACCAAACAGGACAATTGAAAGAAAAAATGAATGTGATAATATGAGTAAAAAGTAACATCAAAATAATATATCAGAGAAAAATAAAAAACCTACCTCTTCTTCACCACCATATTGTTCTTCCAATGCCCTCTTCATGTCTTCCTTAGTTACCCTTTCATCATCAAATTTGAACCTAGGGCAAAACACAGCATTATGCATAACCACAAAAACATACAAAATCCATAAGTACAACATTCCATGCTTTATCAAATTAGACAAAATTGAAAGTTGCTCACACGAGCAGGTAAGTGGAATCCCAAGTAGGCTTTCATCACAAACATTCGAAGTTTAATGTAAATTCAATAAACAGAAGCAATATATTTCAGGAAGTGAGTATGAAACATAGGGCACTAGAACACATACGAATGTAGATAAGAACAAGGAACATAACCAAACAAGGTGCTTACCAATGATCAGAGAGAGTTGGCCGGATATAAGCATAATAATGACCTCCATGTACACCACCGCTGTGAACCAGAACACTACATACATAGACAACAAATTTCATTATTTCAGATGTAGAGCTCATCTCAGCTAAAGCTTGCAAGAAATCAACGAATGAGCATGAATAAATCCACAAAAGAGGGATCTAAAATCCTATGGGTGGAATAATAAAAGGTAGAAAGAGCAGACACATGGACCATGAAAAGCTATAGTCTGTACATAGAAGACATACCAACTTAGCACAAGATGCAAGCAGATGATGGGATATACAACTTAATAACCAGGTGAAAATTAGCAATATTTCTTGAGTATGGAAGCCTGATTGCTGAGGTATTCCAAATCAATAAATGCTTCTCATAAAATAACATGACCATTGCAAGCACCTAATTGAAAAACATGCAGAGCTGAAATACCTATGAAGAGTGTATAAGTTGCGGACACTCCGATCTGCCTGTGGAGATAGATACTTGCCACTCTCTCTATCAAGATCAAGTTGCAAGGGAAACTCGTATCTATCATTTATCTGCAGTGTCAAACACAAAAAGTAATTATGACCATTAAACAGCAGGTACTGAAGAATAAAAGTTCTATGCAAGCAAATTTGTAAGCAGAGCAGGAAGGTACTAACACACAAAGAGAAAAATCCTAAAATGCATCAGCAAATGAGATTAATCCATAGACCAGAACAAAAGCCAACAGAATATCATACTTTTTAGTGCTTCTTGCACCTATGTGCCACATTGATATAAGAATTCTTAAGTGAAATCATGAATAATGGAGTGAAATCTGATTCCAGTAACATGAAATGTGTTTATTTGAGATGTGACAATTTTGAGATTCCAGTAACATGAAATGTGTTTATTTGAGATGTGACAATTTTGAGTAGTTTAGTTACAAAACTTTGCAAATATCTTATTACATCACAGACTGACAGACATATTACAGTTAAAAAAATAATAATAAAAAATAAAATAAAAATTCCAGGTTTTGTGAAATCCATTGTTGATTTGCACAAAAGACAACACATTTAGGAACCATATCATTACAGATTCCAGCATGCAACATAATCATATATCATCTAACAAATGCAACAGAAAACACTACCCAAGTCACATGGAGAGGACCCTTTTATTACTAAGTCAAATTCCCAATCAATAAATGTTTTATTTGTGGAAAGCAAACTATTATTTATTTATTACAGGAAAGGACCAATTACTCACAAATTACATAGTTAAATGGAAAAAAGGTACAGAACTATAAGCTAATAGGGTTGATGATGAATCAAAGTACCCCACCCATTCAATAAGTTTATACTACAAATATTGGGGCCTCATCACATTCCATTTTATTAAGAAGACTGATGAAAGTAGAATAATGCTACTATATGGTCCAGAAACATGCAGCTAAGTCTAAAAGGAGGCTCCTTCAGACCACATACCTTGACCATTGTATCACGAACGAAATCATATTCAAATCTTTTTAACTGAAGCTGAAGGACAGGTGGAAAGTCAATGAAAAGAACACCCTTCTTGGCATCCTGAAAAGTATGTAATTGACATTAGGCATGAAAATGGAACAAATATACTAATAAAATGAGGCGGCATGTGAAACGGACTAAAAATCATTTTATTGACTAGTACTTGTTTCATATAGAATGACTAGCAGCACAAGGACATTCTTGTTGGAAATTACAAGGAAAAAAAAAAGAACCCTTCAAAACATCAACAGAAATTTTCTAACCAATATTCTTTCGAGATTCAAACTTTTAGACATTCTTGCTGTTCTCATTTTATCTTTCACTTCGTCAACAGAAAATTTAACTACGTGTGTAAGAATGTTTTGTGAACCAGTTTCAAATACATAACTACAGTATTGGATAGGCATGCTCATAAATGGAAGGCAGATTAAAGATTAGAAGATAGTAGGAAGTCAACCTGCAATCCATATTGTTCCGCATGATATTTATTGTCGCCCTCAAGACGTTCCACTTCAACATATTTGTCAAAAGAGGCATAGATATCTTTACAGCCTTTGACATCAAGCTGCAGATCTGACACAAACATAAATTCAGCATACAAAATTAGAAAACCATTTATCATGATTTCAAGTACACAAATGGGGCCTTAAGAGACATACCATAGAATGATTCCTTTCTTGTAGATTTGTAGTCCACATTAATACATTCTATATAATTCATGTGATGACCCTCAAACAGCTGCTGTATCGTACCTTCCACCACTGTCCCCTGAAAAATAACACAATAAACAGTCATGTAATCTTCATGGGGCTCACGGTTAATATTTGTTTTAACTTATATTTCAGTTAATCACATGCTTTTAAATACATTACTTTCATCTTGTCTTCAAGTTTTTCACAGAGAACCCTGTTCAGCTCCTGGACATCATGCTGCAGAAAAGAATCATATGTGTCCCACCCAAAAGACTTTGTCAATTCCTTTGTTGATACACTAGTATCACTGTATTGCAGCTTATAGAATAAACTCTGCAACGCCAAAGGGATGCTTCCAGATGGATTATCATTTTCTGTGGTTGGCATGTGGTATACACTCTGAGAAGAAGTTCCAAATTAGTTATTCCTTGTTAAAAAAGTGAAATCAAATGGCAAGACTACAATCAGACACAAACCTTCCTGAAATAAGGAATATGGTATAGGGTCTGTAGAAGAGAATTCATATAACAAGTCGCACCCTGATTCTTAAGCCCCACATACCCTGTCTCCTTTTTGGAGTCATGAGACCAGTAATCAACAACTTTACGAACAGCAACATCAGCCTCAACAATTACCACATCATTCACAAGGTAACCTCGACCAGGGTCATATAATTCACAAAGAGGCATGAATGAAGTGAATCCCCAATCACTTTCCCTAGAATTGAACTGGTGTTGTGTGTCTGCAGGGTTAGTGTTATCAAAACCATCATCCAGGCAGCAAAGCTAGCATATGATTTAAGAGAACCTAATCAGAAACCTAAAAGAACAGCAACAAAGCAGGAAAGACAAACTAGAAAATAAAACTGATAATGACACTTATCAGATGTATGCAGATTAGGATAGGACAAGATAAGATAGGTTGGTCTATTTCTTTGGGAAAAATAACCAGATGCATAAAATATGACCATGAAATACATCCTAGAAGTGGAGTACACGGAGAACTTGTACTATTTTGCAAATTTTTATGCACAATTATACTACACATGAGCAACTACAAAAGACTACAAATCAAACTTGAGCATCATAAATTTCAATATATGCTAACTATTCACTCGAGTTTCCCCATTTCTACGCAAATGCACTACATACTGTAAGCCTATAATAAAATGCAAGAGCAGTTTTTCACAGTTCAGGATATCCCAATTCACTTGAAAAGCAGAGAGAACTGGTCATAAGAAACAACTGTCCTAAAAAGATCATATCCAAGCTCGAAATAACATTCAATGAAATTTTTGTTTAGTACTCCCAGCGGAAATACTCACCATGATAGCATGAAACCACATCAAACATCAAAACAAATAGCATTCAAAGTATGATTTGATTGAACATCCCCTGCATTGTATCTTCAAAGTGTTTGCTTCATAGAAGAAACTTCTAGAATAATTCCTTCTACATTATAGTTTTTTATCTAAATCATTTGCAGGCAATGACCTTCCAAGTGGAAGGTAGAAGAGTTGATTTTCTTACTCAATCATAGGCTATTGAGAAGTTTGGAACTCACAAAAAGCGAAAGTGTACTACAGGACTTGGTAGCACATTAGATTAAGAACTGTGACAGATGAACATTTTCAGCTTAAAAGCCTTAGACCTTCTAAAGTGATAAAATTTTGTGAAACTAATTCATTTTCACCACAGTTACAACAATTTGCGCCAGATGAGGCTTGAAATATAATTTAAGAAGTGATAGCACAATGTTAAGGACAAGAAATATACATATATATATATATATATTTCTTGCTTTATTAGAGCTTCTTACTTATCAAAAACAAGAGGTAAACAACATCAATGAAGTGACCTCAAATTCAATAAGTTCATCACTGCCACAGAAACTTCTTAGTGCCTATCATTCAATCACATCTTTAGACAGATTCTCAAGGTGGAAGAGCTAACACATTCTTACCTTTCCTTATAGTGAATTTGTTGTGAATTTGATTGATCACTGACAAACTAAACTGTGCATATCTACTCCAGCCATATGGCAAAGTTGCAGAGTCTGCAACATCCAAGTACAATGACAAGTGGTCTACGTTGTTTCCTTTTGGAAATATAAGCACTCGCCTGACCAACATAAAAGTATTGTATAAGTTCCAATATAATACCATCAACAACAACAAAAACGATGTAAAAACATAATATAACATACCATTTGTATCCTCCAACAACAAATTCCTCGGAGTACAGTTTCTTTGTGCTTAGTTTAGAAAAATTTTCAATATTCCAAGTAAACCGTGCAGACGGTGATTCGTCGATTGTTTGGCCATCCGCTGCATTTGTTGCTTCCACGGGACTCACTGATATATACAGAAAATTACGGAACTTCATATGAAACCGAACCCAGAGATAACATCCACTCAAAATCCCAAAGCCCAACAACAAGAGCACCCAATAGGATCCCACAGGATCAGAAACTTCAGCATATCCAATCTAAAACACAGGCATTCACACAAAAGCAACAACAAAAGAACAGACCCGCTATTCTAAAAGCAATCGCACTCTTCTTGTACAAGGAGATGACCATACCTTCCATTGGCTGAGGACCTTCTGGCGGGCAATCTTCATGAGTGACAAGCATCTCTTCAGGAACCGCCGGCTAGAGGAAGAAACGAAACTAAATGTCAGAACCAATGGATCTAATAAAACCACCCAACCGCACAGTTTCCCAATTCAAATCCGTAAAATCAATCAATCCACTTCACTATTCCTACAAAAATTTTCAAACCCTAAATTCAAAAGAACTCAAATTTCAACTCCTAGGAAAGAATAAGCACATGACGGCGGCAGAAACAGCTAATCAAGCTACTGAATCAAACGCAAAACAAAATTGCCCATACATACACCCCCACACCCCCACAAAAAGAAAGAAGCAACCCATTTCAACAAGTCAATCACACAAAAGCCGCAGCCCTCACACGCAAACACACACACACACACATACACATTCGCGCACAAGAAATGGACAAACCAAACAGCCCGAATTACGTACATCGATTGGGGGAGGGGTGAGAAGAGTCATTGAGATGAATTTGGCACCGACGGATCGGTGGTAGGGATCGAATTCAGAGATAATCTGAGAGCGAGAGAATTGAGAGAGACGAGGGGAAGAAGAGAAGGGAAGAGAAGAGAGGGGAAGGGAAGAGGGATTCTATGTATCTAATAAAGAAAAAAAGAACGCACTGACCGATCCGGACATGAAAAAACTTGAGGGTGTGAAAACACATATTACTACAATTTACAGCGTGGAGGGGTATTCTTGTCATTTCGTTCTATACGGCAAGTGAGACCGGTTGAGCCCGGACCCGCTTTCGGCCCACATTAGATGGGTAGATTTGGGTCCAAAAATTATAGAAAATGCTGGGGAATTTTTACTTCAATTTTACTATTTTATTATTTTCGGTTCCTAAAATAAAAAATAATGATATTATAATAATATATAAAAATATTATTAATAAATTGATCAAAATAAAAAATAGTGATAAATTATCATTTTATCCGTCATATTTAATTATATGTTTTAATTTTTTGATACGAATTTTAATAAAAGTTAATAATAATTGCTTTTTTTGTCCAAAAATGATATTTTCTTTTTTTTGTTGTGAAATAACTCATATTTTTGATAAATTTAACAATTTTGAACATATTTAACAAATATAAGTTAAATTATTAAATTTGAAACATGCTACACATTTCTATATCATTCATCAAAAAATTAGTTTACGTTAACTATAAATAAATAAATTTATATATTATATTTATATTATATAAAATTTAATTTTTTACAAATAATAGTATTTAAAATATTTAAATACCTACTCCAATTTAAAAAGAAAAATGAACATTAACCTGCCGCGCGCAGTCAATCAAATATTTCACCTAGTCCGTCATCACAATTTAATGTAATACAGGTGAAGAGATCGTCTCCACAGGGATGGTGTGATTCACTCTTTCGTATTCTAATGCAGTAAATAAAGGGGGATTTTTATTTTATTATCTAATGAAAATAAAATAACAAAGCAATTAAATTAAAGGGGAACTGACTATCAAGGGGATGTCTGACTCAAGGGATGATGCAGCTATGGCGCTTGTATTTTATCATTAATTCAATTAAAATATCAATAAATTGGTTACAGTTATCAACAAGTTCTGACAACCATTTTTTCCTTACAATGCAGGTAATTAAGGTACGACCGTTAACTACCTCTAATTAAGCAAATAAACTTAGGTGCGCCCATAAGAATATTGTCCAACCGCATTCCAATCTAGAAAAACCCAATTCAAAACAATTATTACCTAGGAGGAGCAATTAGATTTGATTGTCTAACCCCGGGAAGGAACTATTCAACCCGGTTGTCACCTATTCAAGTGCGAATATAATTACGGATATCCTACCTGAATTGACTTTAGATTATCAGACTAATTTAAATATCGGTACCAAAATATTCAATCAATCTAACAATCACAAACGCTATTATCAGAATTAGACAAATATTGATAATCAAAAAGAACTTTTATAAAGAAAATCAAGAATCTACAAAACAAAAGAACCAAAACATTATCACCCCCTCAAACCAAAAAAATATCTACTTCATAATCAAATAACAAAGAACAAAAGAGAAAGATAAATCATAGTGGGAGGGAAAAATGTTCTTTGTCGATTTGCTCCTGCGCGATCTATGAGTCTGTCAGTCTCCTGCTCCTGTGCGTTTCTGCCCTAGCCGTACTCCCTTGCCAAATAGGCGTATCTTTGTCCTTCCTATTTGATTTTTGCTCTAATTATTTTGTAGATGGGCTTTTGGGCCTTTAATTAATTTTATTTCCTTTTTCTGCCAATTATGCCAAATTTAATATTTGCCCTCTGCACATAGCAAATAAACAATTCGCATATAAATTAGGTAAAATCCAATCAAAATCACCCAAATATCGCATATAATATGAATATAAAACGCATGCGATTTCTAACTATCAATTCTCCCCACACCTAGATCATGCTTGCCCTCAAGCATAAAGTCGAAATAAGCCAAAGAAATCGCAGGCAACTCGATATGACAAGAGGATCCAACACAACTAATTCAATCCAAATTTTAACACATCAAGCCAAGTCAATCTCATAAGATAAAGTGTATTCGCACATGCTCTCTGAAGGAATTAAGTGTATAATTGGCTCAACACTCAGGTAGTGCAACAAAAGATTATCCTATAGGCTTGAGTAAAAATCAAATCTCCCTTACTTAAAATATTCGAATCTAGCATAAAGAATCAAATGGACTTTCGATAAGGATTGTAACGGGGCTTATGGTCAGGGTAGGAAAAAGGATATACAAAAGCTAAAATATGTCAGAAAAGAACACAATAAGAACATGATGCTAGCACATGAAGAACAAATCGGCATAAACAATGAAATTCTTACTCTATTCACTACCCAAACTTTAATAATGAAATTAAATGAAGATAATTATTTATTTTTTATTTTTGTATTATTTTTTTTTGTTTACTTTTTTTTCGTTTTTTTAAAAAAAAAAATTTGTTTTTTTTGTTTTTATTTTTTTGATTTTTTGATTTTTGATTTTTGGTTTTTTTTTTGCTTTTGTCTTTATATATATATATATATATACTTTTACTACCCATAATTATTCCTTCATACTATGACTTATTCGTACCCAAAGTTCGTTTCTAACTAGTGCCGAAGAAATAAAGTGCATCACAATATGGACTTAAAGTAATTCTTTCTAATATAGGGTTCAAATCGGAGAGGGCTCAATCGAAAGAAGGGTATGAGGCTAAAAAACAGTTTATTATAAAAGAAAAAATAAGCTAAGAAGGCTCAAATGGGCTAACTAGGGGAATATATTGTGCTGGGTAATAAAGAAAGGCTTAATGGGTTACCTAATGCCCTTATCATTTTCAAAACGCAAGACCCGATAGTTGCAAGTTCAGCATGCATAATCACTCAAGTTCTAGGTCATCTAATTGAGCACTACAAATCACACATGAAAAATTTTTTCAAAAGCTTGAATACATGCAATATATTTTCTAATGTGACTTTTGGAACATAGGCTCAAATTCTCACAGGGTTCAAACGTCGACTTGACTCAACATATCACCAATCAAATGTCATTAGTCATGCCAAACTAACCTATCACACAAATCACATTTGACTCACTTCAGACAAATCTCAAAAACACGCGAAAAGACAGCAAATCAGGCATAAAATGTAACACAAAAAATGAAAAATTTGCCCAAAATTTTGCATAATTCCTCTCCCCACACCTAAAGTATGCATTGTCCTCAATGTAAAGAAAGCAATAAAAAAAGAGAGGGACTTCTCTGGAGTTCGTATGGGGGTGTAGTAGCTGGGAGCTTTGTTAACACCTCTTCATTTGATCGTGATTTTTAGATAGGCTTGAAGTTCTCCTGAGTCCTGCGAAAACAACTAACCAACGCAAGTCATTTAGAGGAGCGGAGATGGTGATCGGCGATGACTGAGCAGGGGAGGAAAAAGTCGACGGCGCCGGAGGTTGGAGGCAGCGACTAAACCAAACAAAACTATAAAAAATGTTATTAGCAATTAAACAATAAAAATAAATAAAATTAAAGAAAGCAATTAAATGACTTTGGGTTGTCTCCCAAAAAGCGCTTTTCTTTATAGTCTTTGAGTTAGACTTCGTCTCGCATCAATTCTGAACATCAAAATCGGTAACGGGTGCCGACTTTATAGGGTCAAGTGAGGGTCCCTCGTGGTATGATTTGAAGCGATGTCTATTGGCCACACACTTTTTCTTCGGCTTAAAATTTTGATTCTCCCTATGACATTTTTTTCTGCCAGCAATGGTGATCCCTTGGGAATCCATCTCCACTTTTCGACAGTCTTTTTTCTTTTTTTACTCTCTCCAGTTGGTCTTTTCTCTAACTGTTTTGTCAACACAGTTCTTCGTTTATTCTCATTACCAACTTCACAAGTTTCCTGCACCACAAAATTAATAACATTAATTGCATATAACAATTCAGATTCAACAGGACATTTGATGGGATTAAAAATATTGAAATGAAATTCTTCTCCATCAAATTCCAAGCTGAGTGTGCCCTTTTTAACATCTATCTTTGTTCCTGCAGTGCACATAAAAAGTCTTCCTAACAAAAGAGGCGGTGGGTTAAAACAATGTGCATCGTGCATATCAAGAATATAACAATCAACAGGAAAAATTAATTCATTCACTTGAACTAATACATCTTCTATCATACCATCGGGATAAGCATGGGTTCGATCAGCAAGTTGAATAATAATTCCTGTTTTTTTAGAGGCCCTAGATTTAAAGAGTCGTATATTGATCGAGGCATGACATTAATAGCAGCTCCTAGATCTAGCATAGCCTTAGTTATCTCAGTTTTTCCAATTTTACAAGGGATAGAAAACATACCTGGATCACCTGTTTTAGGTGGTACCTTTCTTTTGATAACAGCAGAAACGTTTTCACCCGCTATAATATGCTCGTCCCCTCGCGATTTTCTTTTGTTGGTGCACAGTTCTTTCAAAAACTTTGCGTACTTGGGGATTTGGTTTATAGCTTCCAGGAGCGGGATATTAAGTTCCACCTTCTTGAATATTTTCATCATCTCTTTTCGTTTGTTTGCCTTTTATGGTTTCTTCAACCTGTCAAGAAAAGGAGTTGATTTAGTTTCAGTAGGAGAAATAGAGTTAGGAAGTACCTTTTCGTGAAGTTCAGCTTCTTTTTCAATCTCCATCTCAATATGATCCTCATTTTGTTCCTTTGAGATATGAGGTGGACCTTCCAATTCCTTTCCGCTACGAAGGGTTATAACACTCGTATTCTTTGGATTAGGCCGGGAGGAACATTGAATCATCGTATCACTGCAGATAGTGATGGCGCTGACATTTGCTGGATTTAGCTTAAGCTGAGCAGGCCACTTTCCTCTTCACGTAGCTGTCTCACCTCCTCTGACAGTTGATTGATCTGACCTTGTAATTTGTCAACAGTTGACTTCATCTCTTGCTGGAATTGCAGGGTACTGGTAGCCATAGACTTCACCAAGTCTTCCAAAGATGGACTGGAGTTGCTTGTGGGTGCTTGGGGCGGCTGTTTCTCATAGAAACGAGGTTGTTGCATCTGCTGCATAGCTCCGAATGGTTGATGAGCATTACCCTGCTGTGTGTTTCCATAAC